TGTGATCTGAATGAAGAAAGGTGGCAAGGAGGAAGGAAAGGTAAGTCAAAAGTTTGGTGCTACCTCAGAGAAGACTGGCATTTCCCATCTACTCCTTGTGTCCAAGTCTGTCCGGAAGGGATCAGGACTGAAAGGTAGAGATAATTCCCATCTGCTTGTTGGGTAGAAATTGCTCTGGAAAATTAAACCTAGTTCCAGAAGCTAGGGAGAGGCACAGAGGCAAACAGAGATTGCGGTCCGAGTGGCCAGACAATGCACAGTGGCTCCTGAGGGACTCCAGAACCCAGAATCTGTGGACCCCAAATGGCAGGTGAGGAACTGGTGGGAGAATTAACTGGAGCTGTTAATTTTCAGAGATTCAAACCACACAGGGAAGATGGCACCAGAGAGGTTGACCACAATGTGGGTAGACCCCGAAAATGGAATCTGCTCACAGAATTAGGTTTAAGGTTGATCTTATGGTTTGGGAATAGGAAAGAGGCCAGTTTTCAAAAGCACACCTAAGTACAGTTGAGTGGTGCATACAAGAGCTGTCTACTATGGTGGGTTAATGAAGGTTGCAAATCTGACGCTGTTTCTTTTCAGAGATGGGCCCTATGTCCTCCACCCTAGATGTGAGCACATTCTTATTATTGTTATAGATTTGGTCAATAGAATAGGAAGGAAACGATGCTCTGCTAGTTTCTTGACCCAAGCCTTAAGCAACTGCCGCTCCTGTTGATAGATTCACTCTTAGAAACCAGCTGCCATGCTAAGAGGAAACCCAAGCAGTCTTGTAAAGGAAATGAGAGCTGTACAGCCATCCCCGCTGAATTTCAGGTAAGACCAGCCACTAGCCTGCCCTTCACATGAGGGAACAATCTTGGGAGTGGATTTTCTAGCCCCAGCTGAGCTATCCCAGCTGGCCACAGATGGAGCAGAAACCAGCTGTTTCTACTGAAGCTTGTCTGATTTGCATATTCATGAGCAAATTAAATTGCTGTCATTTTAAACAAATTAATTTGAAGTGATTTATTATGCAGTAATAAATGGCCATAAGTTTATCATAATATTATCTGTTTTTATGTATGTGTGAGAATTCCAGAATAAAAATATTTTAAATAGTTGCAGATACATGGCATCATGATGAGACTTGTTATCAAGCCCTAGTGGGGGCATATTTCTCAAAGAGTGGTCTGGGAACCTTTTGTTAGCATTCTCCCGGGTGCTATAAAATAGGTTACTGGACTTGGTGAGTCAGAATCTTTCAAAAAGAAAAAAGAAACTGCATTTTTTTTTTTTTTTTTTTACAGGCGCTGCCAGGAAATTCTGATACCCCTTAGAGTTTGAGAAGCACCACACTGGAGCTGTGGTTCCCAAACTTGGCTTCACTTTCTAATCCACTCGGGAACTATACAAAATATCGGGGTTGGGTCCCTGCCCCAGAGTTGCTGGTTGGACGATTTGAGGTGCACAAGGGCCCTGGGATCTGTCAAAGCTCTTCAGATGATTCCAGTATGCAGCCAGGGCTGGGAACTGCTGAGCAGGGGAGTTAGGATCTGAGAGTTTGCAGCATTCGAGCTGCAGAGGAACCCGTTGGCAACACACATGTGAAAACGAGGGCTTCAGACACAGGGACCCACGCAGTCGGCTGGAGAAGACCATCTGCAAAGACGAATAACTCAAAAGAGCAACAGGAGTTCTTTGTCACTCTGTGACAAGGGCAAAATTCACTACTACAGGGTGGAAAATGGAAAAATGAGAAAGGAAACTCTGCACCCATAATTATGAACTAATGGAACTGAAGGTATTGAAGCACGAACTCAGGTTCTCTTTCCTGAATGCTTTTCTGCCAAAAGGAATTCTTCTTTTCATTTTCTTTTCACAATCATTTCCAAATCCACTTCAACCTTTTTCATTTCTCTCTGTTTAACTTCACATTGGGCCTCTCACTGCTTGTGGTGTGATGAGTTATTAAATAAGTAAGCCATTGCTAAGTCCTGGGAGTACTAAGTATGTAAGGTGCATCAACAGAGTCAAGGCCAGCAAATGGGACAGGGTACAAATAACCACTGCATTGTGCTCAGAGTCCTCCCCCTTTCTTCACTGCTGAATCTCGTGTTTGTTTCTGTTGTGGTTTGGGTGTGAGCTGTCCCTCAGAGGCTCTTGTGTAAGACAATGCAAGCACATTCAGAGGTGAAATGACTGGGGTAGGAGAGCCTTAACCCAATCAGTGAATTAATCCCCTGATGAGGATCAACTGAGTGGTAATGGAAGCAGGTAGGGTGTGGCAGGAGGAGGTGCGCATTGGGAACATGCGTTTAGGGGATATGTTTGGTGAGCTGAGCTTATTATCTCTGCTTCCTGCATCCTGTGAGCTGCTTCCCTCCACCACGCTCCTGCGCCATGGTGTTCTGCCTCACCTTGAGCCCCAAGGGATGGAGCCAGCTGTCTATGGACTGAGACCTCTGAAACATGACCCCTCCCCCCCCAAAAAAAACCTTTTCCTCCTCTACAATTGTTCTTATTGGGTCTTAACACTGGTGGACTGAGGGGAGGGTTGAAATCAATCTTCTTGATTGCAACCCTCCCCCTCCCCCAGTCCACCGGTATTGGAAGAGATGCAGATGGAGGACTGGGAAGAAGGAAGGGAACAGCGGAAACTCCCCTGGCTGTTTCTGTTCAGCTTCACCCTGGCGTGAAAGCAAATAGGATAGACAGGAGAAGGGTGGGACCAAGTATGGCTATGGATTACGGAAGGAATGTCTTCTTATTCTCTCTGGGAAAAACAAAGAAGGGGACTGTGTGCCTTTTAAGTACATTTACGGACTCCTTGAACGTATCCTCCATGCTGAGGCCCTACATGTGTGAGGATGATGTACAAATGAATTTCGTTCTGGAAGTTGCAAGGCTACCCCAGGGACTGCTTTCCTGCTAAATTCGACGCAGGACTCTTGGGCCAACATTCCACACATTCATATGTGCTTTTATTAATCAGCTGCCAAGAATTACCATGAATATATATTTGACTGGTTGTTTTTTAGTACCATAAGAAAAACAAATGAGTTTTTTTTTTTTGCAATACATTGCAGATGAAATCTAAAATCTAAAATATTTTGTAAATAGTCCTATGAGAGACGCAAGAACAAAAAAATTCATCCTGATTAATAGTTTCTATATGGTATGAACTCCATCCTTCGGCGGAAAAATGACTTCCCTGTGCATTGGAATAACCAGATGAGAGTGTGGGTAAGGAATAAGTGCCTTGGGCAGAGACGTCCAGATGTTGATGGGCTCCCCTACATCCCCTCAGGTCCATGCAGTTGGGGTTACAGGACTAGACCAAGACAATGAACTTGGAGCAGAAACAATATTTGTCACTTACAGTGCATTTCAAAGCCAAGGTATTTCCCCTCTTCCTCACTTCCCCTTTCCACAGGGACTGGAATGCTATGTGGTGCAGATAGTATCTTAGAAGAGAGGCAACCAGGACACCAAAATCACTGTTTAGATGACACCTGCCCAGGGGCACCAGCCGGGGACTGTGTTATGCGTGAGAAGCACACTTTAGTTATATGAAGCCACTGAGAACTTGGGGTTGGCTTGTTACTGAAGCAGAACCTAGACTTAGGCTATCTAACCCGGTCCCTGGGGGAGAAGGGGAAGGCAGCTCTGCAATTTTTACTGGAAAGGTGTATACAGGGTCAAAGGACCGTGGCTTCAGTTTAGAAATCAACCCAGGGAGACTGCCTTCCCACTTGTTAGGAGCCACAGGGACAGATGAGATAAAAACATAGTGAGGCAGGATAATTTTGTGTCCATTTGCCCAGATGATTCTCTGATACTCCTGATTCATACCTTTTGTGTCAGACTTTTCAATGAATCAAATCGTGTTTACCTGGGCTGGAGCTCTGGGCAGAATCCTGTCCTGAATGTGAGGAACATGAAGCAATCCCTTTGAAAAGCCTCTAGTCTGCTCCACTTAATGATTTCAACCCTGCCTTATTTTTTGACGGGACGTCCAGGCTTGCTATAGGCTCTGGCTGCCTAGGAAATGGCCCCAGTCCTCAAAGTTCTTTTGGTGGAGCCTGGCTGATTTAAAGAAAAACTGACCTCTTGGCTTGAGGCTCTCAGAACTTTAAAAGAGTGCTACTTAGCTCTAGACAAAAGGACATTGATTTTCATGTTTACATAAGAAGAAACCAGCAGTAAACTGAACCGGATTGAAATCTCAGAAATCCACCTTTTCTTTTTCTTTTTTTTTTTTCACTTAAAACTAAGAACTTTTCTTAAACATCCAGGAAGATCCTGTTTGTGAAGCCCAGTTAGATAATGCATGAGAAAATTCTTTATAAACCACTTGGGTTGGGTGCTGTCCACAGAAATGTTCTTTTCTTCGATTTCAGAAAAATAGGGCATGATCATTTTTAAAAAGACGAAGCCACTGAAAGATCAGATGTTGTCTCCTGTGAACAGCTGCCTTGGAGGTGCCCTGCCCCTCATTAACAAAGCTGGGGACGACCCTCACAGCCAATCTCTATTCCAATCATGTGCTGCCCGCTTATTGTGCAAGTCTTATTTTTTTTTAAAGCACCAAAACCCAGCATTTAGCCTGCGGTTTTCTCTATTTCCATCTAAGGACTCCTGGCAGACTGGGGCCATCTTTCGCTCGGACAGACCTTTCAATGATTCTTCATGCTTTTGTCACATAATTAAAATTAGATTACTTCAATTCCCTGCTGGCCGGCTGGCCTGAGTAGGGGCCCTTGTAAAGCCTCCAGCTGGCCCAGGGGCCTTTGAAAAGAGGAATATGGTCCAAACACCCTCCGCCTGGAAGCCGCTGTGCTGCTCCCAGTGCCACAAGCTGCAGCCTGAGCTTATCAATGGCTGCTTATTCTCTAAGAGCCACATTTTCCCTTCTCGAGAACTTGTAGTCAGAGCGCTGGCATGTGCGTTCCGAACTGACACTCTCCCAGACCCCATTTTCCAGCACCCCAAGAACTGGCCTTTCATGGACTTACCTGCCAGGTGGACTGAAATGGACAAGCAGAGGTGGCAGGCAGACCAGGCAGCAGTGTGCACACATCCTCCTCCCAAATCATCCCAGCCAAGGCCAAAGTCAAAAACCCCTCGTCTTCCCGGGCCCTTCTCCTTTAAACCTCATTAAACTTCTGCCAATGGGACCCCCCCACCCCCCGCTGGTTTCCACAGGCTACATTAGGGCTGCCAGCTCAGCAGCCTGCGCTCAGCAGCCAGCCACCCAGGGGCACCAAACAGCCCTTCCATCACACCTCCTCCTGCCGATGGGCAACATCTGCCTCTTCTCTCTCCTTCTTCTTTTCCCTAAACAGAGACAGGCAGGGCAAATGAGGATTAGCCCCACTGCTGGTCAAGGCATCTCAGCTCCCTTGGCAGAAAGAACCGCTCTCCCTGGTTTCTCTTGGCATTTACTCTGGCCGGGTGCCTCCTTCACAGTCCCTGCCAGGGTCATTGGGTTTGTTTTCTCTCTGCCCTCCTTCCACCCATCCACAGCCCTGAAAGAGGCCAGTGGAATCTGTCCAGTTGTAGGTCGATTCCTGCTCCAGCAGCTTATTTGCACTGTGACCTTGAGTTGGTAACTTACCCTCTCTGAACCTTATTTCCCTACCCTAAATTTAGGAATACTAAGGCCCTTCTCAAGTGGCTGTAGTGAAGATCAGCAATGATACCTTAATGCCTGGCCTGTGGTGGGCGCTTTCTCCTGGCTTCTCAACAGACTGGGGAATGGCTCTTAAATGGCTTAGTTCCTCAACACCGTGGCCCCTCTTTCTGTAAATGGCAGTTCATTTCCCTAGTCTCGCTGTCTGGGGTCACTCCGCTGGATGAATCTCCTTAAAACTCTAGTAAACAGCCATCCCCATGTTTTCTGCCAGGAAATCTCAACTGCTCTGCTGTGTGCCTTGAAGGGGTGTGTGTGTGTATGTGTGTGTGTGTGTGAGTGTGTGCGCACAGTACATGCCAGGCCCTGCAATGCATGATGAGCGCTTGGCCTGGATTTTCGTACATGAGGTAGCTTCTACTGTATCCCCACTTTACCGATGAGGAAATCACGGCACAGGGGTCTGACTGTGCCGGAACCCACTACACCCTTAGCTGATGGCAGAGCTGGAGGCTGGGCTGAGCAGTGGGCTCAGGAGCCTGCACCGCAGCCTGGTTTTCAAGGATTGTGGAGGTCAATCCAGAAACGAGGCCTTGGAGGGTTTTCTGGGGAAAAGAGTGCAAGTCCCAGGGACAATAAGGCATCCTTTATCACCTGTTCCCACAACCTCTCTACCTGGCTCCATTCTCAGAGCCGGTGGATCTCAACCAGGAGGAATGTTGCACCAGGGGGACCTTCTGGGGTGTCAGGAGACAGCTGGAAGGGTGAGGGTGGGTGCTACCCGCAGCTGGGGGTAGAAGCCAAGGACACAGCTGAGCATCCTCCAGTGCCCAGGACAGCTCCCCTCCCCAAGTAGGCCTGCCCAGCCCCGAGCCTGCAGGTGCAGAGGTGGAGGAAATCTGCTCTACCTCCTGAGGTATCTTCACAAAGGGGTGGGGGCCTAGGGGATAAGGAGCCCCGTGAAATTGTTTCTCCCATGTTCTCAGCTGGCACAAAGCCAGATGCCAATTTATGCGATGCATCTATTAGAAGTTAGTGACTTTCAAAAGCAATAATTTTGAGATTTCTTTTAAACATTTAGAGAATGGTGCTAAAATGCTTAAAAAATTAGAAAATAGTACTGACGATATAACACAGCCGAAAATATTTTGTGACCTTTTAAAAACACTTAGAAATTAATGTCACTAGTGTCAAAAATGACAAATTATTCAATGCCAGCGAAGACTCGTACCAGCAGCTTAGAAAGCATTAGGAACTGTATTTTGATTCAAATTTTAATGTAATGTGCCTCCAGGCAGTGAGAAATGGTTTGAAAAGGAAGGAAGATTGGGGAAACTGAGCAAAAAATATTTAGGATCTTCCTCTATAAAGTGTGTTCGCCCTTGGGAGGAACATGAGCATTCTAACAGTGGACCAAACCCTCTGGCTGGGCAGGGCCAGCGGATCCGTTAGTAGACATAGAATCCTGGGCCCAGGAAAATGTTTTAATTTCTTTTAAAATAAGAATAAAAAGTGAACATAATGATATTCAGTAATAATGTTATTCTATTTTGTTACAGTCTTGAATATAAGTGATGTCATAAAAGGAATATAGAAAATTGAATCCAGCCTAGATTGTGTTACTCTTTAAACCAACACAATGATAAAGTATCAGTTTCAAATGTTTTTATGAAGCCAGGCATGGTGGCTCATGCCTGTTTTCAAAAGCCTAAGGCAGGAGAATCACAAGTTCAAAGCCAGCCTCAGCAGCTTAGTGAGGTCCTAAGCAAGTTAGTGAGACTCTGTCTCTAAAGAAAAATAAAAAGGGATGAGGATGTAGTTCGATGGCTGAATGACCCTGGGTTCAATTCCCAGTACTAAAGGCAGGGGGTGGTGGGGGCTCATGAAGGGGTTTGGCCCTAAAATGGGTACTAAAGGGACAAGAAGGGTACTAAAGGCACCTCAAAGCTATCCACGTTGCCAAAAAGCAACCTCTTCCACGTCCATAAAATGCCTGAACAGCATTACAACAGCTCATGCTACAGTTTTATTGGCACTGTTTTATGAGGGAAAGAAATCTAAGACGTCCTCAACACTTGGCTGCCTCGGTCAACAGAACGTCACAGAAGTTCTCCCTGGTGGTTCAGCGTCTCGAGGGGAACATCTACAGGGCAGTAACGAGGCACCGACCTGCCTCTCCCAGCTCTCCCGGCTGCTCCCACTGCCCGGGTGGCTGTTTGCAAGGTCCCTGATTCTGATGGGTGCTCTGACCAAGCTGACCGAGATTGGAAAGGGAGTTGAGGATCCCTGAATGCTGGCCTGGGGGCCCGGGAAGGTCAAGCTCTTCAGATCCCGGTGGACAATTTCAGAGGCTCTGAAAGTTTCTGAGTACAACACACCCTTGGGTCTCTCCCCATCTAGCTGAGCCAAGAAGGCAGACAGGCAAAGTCAACCAGAGAATCACACAAGAAGGCTACTGCAAAGCCACCGCAAGGAACCCGGGTGACCAGGAGGGCTGAGTGAAGGGCATGCAGTCCCTCTCCCTCCCTCCTCTTCCCCTCTCTCCCCTTCTCCCTCCCTCCCTCTCTCTCTCCCC